ACTAATCACACACACACCTGTATCATTAATCACACACACACCTGTATCATTAATCATTCACACACCTGTATCATTAATCACACACACCTGTATCACTAATCACACACACACACACCTGTATCATTAATCATACACACACCTGTATCATTAATCATTCACACACCAGTATCATTAATCACACACACTTACTCATCAAACACACCTGTATCATTAATCACACACACCTGTATCATTAATCACACACCAGTATCATTAATCACACACACCAGTATCATTAATCACACACCTGTATCATTAATCACACACACTCAATCATCAAACAAACACACCTGTATCATTAATCACACACAACTGTATCGTGAATCACACACACTTGCATCTTTAATCACACACACCTGTATCATGAATCACACACACCTGTATCATTAATCACACACACTTGCATCATAAATCACCCACACCTGTATCATTAATCACACACCAGTATTATGTATCACACACACCTGAATCATTAATCACACACCAGTATTATGTATCACACACACCTGTATCATTGATCACACACCAGTATTATGTATCACACACACCTGAATCATTAATCACACACCAGTATTATGTATCACACACACCTGTATCATTAATCACATACACCAGTATCATTGATCACACAAACACCAGTATTTTTAATTACATACACTTGTATCATTAATCACACACACACCTGTATCATTAACCACACACACCTGTATCATTAATCACACACCTGTATCAGTAATCACACACACTCAATCATCAAACACACCTGTATCATTAATCACACACACCTGTATCATTAATCATACACACACCAGTATCATCAATCACACACACCTGTATCATTGATCAAGCACACCTGTATCATTAATCACACACACTTGTATCATTAACCACACACACCTGTATCATTAATCACACACCTGTATCATTAATCACACACATCTGTATCATTAATCACACACACCAGTTTCATTAATTACACACACTGGATCATCAAACAAACACATCTGTATCATTAATCACACACACCTGTATCACTAATCACACACACACCTGTATCATTAATCACACACACACCTGTATCATTAATCATTCACACACCTGTATCATTAATCACACACACCTGTATCACTAATCACACACACACACCTGTATCATTAAACATACACACACCTGTATCATTAATCATTCACACACCAGTATCATTAATCACACACACTTACTCATCAAACACACCTGTATCATTAATCACACACACCTGTATCATTAATCACACACCAGTATCATTAATCACACACACCAGTATCATTAATCACACACCTGTATCATTAATCATACACACTCAATCATCAAACAAACACACCTGTATCATTAATCACACACAACTGTATCGTGAATCACACACACTTGCATCTTTAATCACACACACCTGTATCATGAATCACACACACCTGTATCATTAATCACACATACTTGCATCATAAATCACCCACACCTGTATCATTAATCACACACCAGTATTATGTATCACACACACCTGAATCATTAATCACACACCAGTATTATGTATCACACACACCTGTATCATTAATCACACACACCTGTATCATTAATCACACACACAAGTATCATTACTCACACACACCTGTATCATTAATCATACACACCTGTATCATTAATCACACACACACAATCATCAAACAAACACAACTGTATCATTAATCACACACACCTGTATCATTAATCACATACACACCTGTATCATTAATCACACACACACCTGTATCATTAATCATACACACACCAGTAGCATTAATCACACACACTTAATCATCAAACACACCTGTATCATTAATCACACACATCTGTATCATTAATCACACACACCAGTTTCATTAATTACACACACTGGATCATCAAACAAACACATCTGTATCATTAATCACACACACCTGTATCACTAATCACACACACACCTGTATCATTAATCACACACACACCTGTATCATTAATCATTCACACACCTGTATCATTAATCACACACACCTGTATCACTAATCACACACACACACACCTGTATCATTAATCATACACACACCTGTATCATTAATCATTCACACACCAGTATCATTAATCACACACACTTACTCATCAAACACACCTGTATCATTAATCACACACACCTGTATCATTAATCACACACCAGTATCATTAATCACACACACCAGTATCATTAATCACACACCTGTATCATTAATCACACACACTCAATCATCAAACAAACACACCTGTATCATTAATCACACACAACTGTATCGTGAATCACACACACTTGCATCTTTAATCACACACACCTGTATCATGAATCACACACACCTGTATCATTAATCACACACACTTGCATCATAAATCACCCACACCTGTATCATTAATCACACACCAGTATTATGTATCACACACACCTGAATCATTAATCACACACCAGTATTATGTATCACACACACCTGTATCATTAATCACATACACCAGTATCATTGATCACACAAACACCAGTATTTTTAATTACATACACTTGTATCATTAATCACACACACACCTGTATCATTAACCACACACACCTGTATCATTAATCACACACCTGTATCAGTAATCACACACACTCAATCATCAAACACACCTGTATCATTAATCACACACACCTGTATCATTAATCATACACACACCAGTATCATCAATCACACACACCTGTATCATTGATCAAGCACACCTGTATCATTAATCACACACACTTGTATCATTAACCACACACACCTGTATCATTAATCACACACCTGTATCATTAATCACACACATCTGTATCATTAATCACAAACACCTGTATCATTAATCACACACACCAGTATCATTAATCATACACACACCTGTATCATTAATCACACACATCTGTATCATTAATCACACACACCAGTTTCATTAATTACACACACTCGATCATCAAACAAACACATCTGTATCATTAATCACACACACCTGTATCATTAATCACACACACTCAATCATCAAACACACCTGTATCATTAATCACACACACCTGTATCATTAATCATACACACACCAGTATCATTCATCTCAAACACCTGTATCATCAAGCACACACACCTGTATCATTAATCACACACACCTGTATCATTGATCAAGCACACCTGTATCATCAATCACACACACTTGTATCATTAATCACACACACCTGTATCATTAATCACAAACACTCAATCATCAAACAAACACACCTGTATCATTAATCACACACAACTGTATCGTGAATCACACACACTTGCATCATTAATCACACACACCTGTATCATTAACCACACACCAGTGTTATGTATCACACACACCTGTATCATTAATCACATACACCAGTATCATTGATCACACACACACCAGTATTTTTAATTACACACACTTGTATCATTAATCACACACACACCTGTATCATCAATCACACACACACCAGTATCATTCATCACAAACACCTGTATCATCAAGCACACACACCTGTATCATTAACCACACACCAGTATTATGTATCACACACACCTGTATCATTAATCACATACACCAGTATCATTGATCACACACACACCAGGATTTTTAATTACACACACTTGTATCATTAATCACACACACACCTGTATCATCAATCACACACACACCAGTATCATTCATCACAAACACCTGTATCATCAAGCACACACACCTGTATCATTAACCACACACCAGTATTATGTATCACACACACCTGTATCATTAATCACATACACCAGTATCATTGATCACACACACACCAGGATTTTTAATTACACACACTTGTATCATTAATCACACACACACCTGTATCATCAATCACACACACACCAGTATCATTCATCACAAACACCTGTATCATCAAGCACACACACCTGTATCATTAACCACACACCAGTATTATGTATCACACACACCTGTATCATTAATCACACACACTTGTATCATTAATCACATACACAAGTATCATTAATCATACACACCTGTATCATTAATCACACACACCTGTATCATTAATCACACACACTTGTACCATTCATCACACACACCTGTATCATTAATCACACACACCTGTATCATTAATCACACACACAAGTATCATTAATCACACACACCTGTATCATTAATCATACACATCTGTATCATTAATCACACACACACAATCATCAAACAAACACACCTGTATCATTAATCACACACACCTGTATCATTAATCATACACACCAGTATTATGTATCACACACACCTGTATCATTAATCACACACACACAATCATCAAACAAACACACCTGTATCATTAATCACACACACTTGTATCATTAATCATACACACACCAGCATCATTAATCACACACACCTGTATCATTAATCATACACACACACCTGTATCATTAATCACACACACCTGTATCATTAATCACACACACCAGTATTATGTATCACACACACCTGTATCATTAATCACACACACCTGTATCATTAATCACACACACAAGTATCATTAATCACACACACCTGTATCATTAATCACACACACCAGTATTATGTATCACACACACCTGTATCAATAATCACACACACCTGTATCATTAATCACACACAACAGTATCATTAATCACACACACCAGTATTATGTATCACACACACCTGTATCATTAATCACACACACCTGTATCATTCATCACACACACCTGTATTATGTATCACACACACCTGTATCATTAATCACAAACACCAGTATCATTAATTATGCTTGCCTGTATCAATAAAATGTTCTTTTCAACAAGTTTCACTTTTCCTTGGTCTGGTTCTTCTAATCTTATTTGTGAACTGTATCACCAACACTATGAAATTATCATGATATATGTTACCCTTACCTTTCATGATGTCTTCAGTAGCTAAGAACACCCAGTTAACTATCAGGAACCAGACCCCTCTATTGGGGAGGACCACTAAGCTCAATAAGAATACACAAAGCTCTATGTAGAATCTGTAAGAAAAATACACTTCGTATCAGTCTACAGTGTAATATGTAGACTTTATACCAATATGCAGTGTAATATGTAGACTTTATACCAATATACAGTGTAATATGTAGACTTTATACCAATCTACAGTGTAATATGTAGACTTTATACCAATATACAGTGTAATATGTAGACTTTATACCAATCTACAGTGTAATATGTAGACTTTATACCATTAAACAGTGTAATATGTATACTTTATACCAATCTACAGTGTAATATGTAGACTTTATACCAATATACAGTGTAATATGTACACTTTATACCAATCTACAGTGTAATATGTAGACTTTATACCAATATACAGTGTAATATGTAGACTTTATACCAATCTACAGTGTAATATGTAGACTTTATACCAATATACAGTGTAATATGTAGACTTTATACCAATCTACAGTGTAATATGTAGACTTTATACCATTAAACAGTGTAATATGTATACTTTATACCAATCTACAGTGTAATATGTAGACTTTATACCAATCTACAGTGTAATATGTAGACTTTATACCAATCTACAGTGTAATATGTAGACTTTATACCAATAAACAGTGTAATATGTAGATTTTATACCAATATACAGTGTAATATGTACACTTTATACCAGTCTACAGTGTAATATGTAGACTTTATACCAATATACAGTGTAATATGTAGACTTCATATCAGTCTATTACATCTGGAAAACAAGTTGTAAAAACGTAAATAAGATTCCTATTGGCTTCGACGGAAGTGCACAAAGGGTTTAAATTTAGGTAAATCCAGAGAATTCCAGAATATTATACATAACTAGGCAGATTATCATAAACCTTTTCAATTCCCACAGAGAATTAAACCCTGATCAACTTGTTAAAAAGTTAGGTCACAGCATTGTTACCTGACACAATAATTCTCCCCTATCAATATATTTATTTATGCACTTACTTGAGTGATGACAGTGTGTTATCCCATCGAAGGATTCCATACAGATGGGCTATGTACTCATTACACTTGACGATGAAATCATACATCTGGACCACACTAGAAACAAATCCATTAGTAAGTACATGTATATGATGTGAAAAACAGTAACAAATTTAAGCGCTATATTATGTCTAAATAATGTACGCAAGGGACTGCTTATCAACATTCTAAATTGATGTTATCCTTTAAGTGTGTGAATAAGGACTTATGAATATAAACAAATATGGGTTTATTGTTTTTTGCCAGCTCAACTCCTGTCATTTTCTAGGAAAAAACAATCAATATTATACACAGACACAGCCAGGTGAGAAATTTTTTATGTCCATTGCAGGCATTCAGATAATTCCAATACGTGCCCAAAAAGAGGAAAACCACTTGGTACAGTAACTATAGATTGTGATGATGGAGGGTTTATTACTAGTTACTAGGTAGCTATCAAATGGGATATTGAAGCATGGTGTTCATCCTAGACCAAAATTTCCTCTGATTGGATCAATGGTCTTAAAATGAGATGCTGATGTATCGTGTTGTTTTAAGCTGTGCAACAAATTATCCCTTATCACATGCTCGCTCTCTGGCCCCCACTAACAACAGTCAGAGAAAAAGTACAACATTAACTTAGAACATTTTTACATTTTGATTTTACATATATATCCAAACAGGAGATGACAACATAATTTATACCTAAAGCGAAAGACCTGCACTGTCTTCATTGTCACAGCCTCTTCTACCTCGTCATCATCGTCTGTCCTGTCATCATCACGACCAGTATATGGGAAGAACTTGTCCAGAAGGCGTGTGTGGACTTGAACCAGACACAATGTAGCAATGCCCACAACCAGTAGAGACACCAATACAAAAACAGCACCTGGATACAATATCAAATGGTCCCCTTTATTATCATTTTTATATGTGTTTGTATCAAAGCAAGATACACAATGCTGCCATTATCATAAAGCATGATTTAAGATGCTGCAGCCACCACACAGAGTTTACATTGGCAATGCATATGCAGAACTTGATGTTGACAATCTGTATACAGGAGCTGATGTCAACAATCTATACACAGAAGTTGATGTCAAAAATCTGTATACAGGAGCTGATGTCAACATTCTATACACAGAAGCTGATGTTGACAATCTAAACACAGAAGCTGATGTCAACAATCTATATATAGAAGCTGATGTTGACAATCTATATACAGAAGCTGATGTCAACAATCTAAACACAGAAGATGATGTTGACAATCTATACACAGAAGATGATGCTGATAATCTAAATACAGGAGCTGATGTCAACAATCTGTATACAGAAGCTGATGTCAACAATCTGTATACAGGAGCTGATGCTGACAATCTGTATACAGGAGCTGATGTCAACAATCTGTATACAGAAGCTGATGTCAACAATCTATACACAGCAGACAATTTCAACTGCCATACTCTCTAACCATGACAGTTTGTATTTATCAAAATGCTGAGAAATAGTCTAGTCTGTGCTGTCATGGTTGTGTTCTTGGGCATGAAAATTCAGCCTACTTACTGAATGCCAAGTGACAGGCCTCTTACACCTTGCTTATTGAGGTAGCCACTAGCTACTACTTCAAACATTACCCTGCCTGTCAACAGGGTGATTAACATATTAACAGGGAGAAATATAAATTACCTTTAGAGAGAAATATACACATGATATTACAGATGATCCAAGCTCCTAATGTCCAGTTGGGATATCGCCATCTAAAACAAATACATTGTAACATGTGACATGTCCTTGTTATTCACTAATCCATGCTATATCATTATATTTTGACATTAAACAAATTACCTTACCAGATACAGAAATCTTAATTTGAATGTTCTAGCACTGTAAGTTACATAAAGGAAATAAAATAAAGATTTGTTATTACAGCAAAACAACTCCTCTTGTGATAAATTAGTGTCTCCTGATAAGCCCATCCATATCTAATGCCATTCAAGGTACAATTACAAACAAGTATTATTTGATTGTTCTACAATTAGCCCAGTCCCAACTTGGAATCAGAATTTAGGTTGGCACTCCTTGGATAATTGCAGGTGCAAACAAATATAAGATATGATTTATCCACTGCCATTGTACTACAAATGAATCACATTAAGATAGATGTTCACACATCCAAAATATCATAGGTGTAAAGTGACATGCATCTGCGGAGTATTCTACTGGTAAAAAAATACAATTCAAACCTTCGGACATCTTCAATTGTATACAGTATAACAGCAAGAGGTTCAATAAGGCGATTGAACCTCTCTACCTCTGCTACAAAGTAGACAAGGTCAACCTTGCCACATCTGCCATCTGTGTCTATCATTGGTCGGCCTTGTATAGCCTTCTCCCCATTCTCATCTTCTTTCTCCTGTAAGTGTAAGATTTCAACAAAATGTCACTTTTTTAATTTGTTATTACATTAAATATATATATTATATATTAGCACAAAACAGTTATTTGTTCCGAATCCTAGTTCTTGAATACAGTACAGAAGTAAACACAAATCAAACAATGCATATCGTGATGACATGGTTTCACTATCTGTCCTTTGTTCAGAAATACAATTATAACATTATGAATATTTACATCTTGTTTCAGTCAGAAATTTCTGTGCCAGTTAAAGTAATACAACTAATACATCTTCAATAAGATATAGCAAAGAGGCCTTTCTTTTTCATATTACATCTGTATTCCTGGCACAAATATAATGGAGGACTTGATATTGCAATCTGTGATAGGGGCCAAACCCAAATGAGTATGCCTATTTAAGGCTTCATCTTTCCTTAGTGAAAGCAATTGGTGGGCACTACCTTGGGTGTTGTTTCTTACACAGTAATGATGATGTACCATAATTGGTGAGTTTTACATTTTTTTTCGATTTTGTAATCTCCACTTTCTCTGTGTGTTCCAAGACCATTTCATTTTGTGTTGTTAAAGTATATCGGGTTACTTTCCCAGTTCTATGAGCTGCAGAGTTTAATCTTGGATATTGTAGACACAGCTTCCAGTTATCCTATTGACCTATTTAGCGACTTCAACTGCCAAGCATGCAGTAAATATATTAAACATGTATGCCATAATTGAGCTATATATGACCTCACTCACTTTGAAGGGTTCTCAATCTGTGAAAGAGGCTGTTGCCAGCTTCAAACAAGCTAATTTGGATTTTGCATACTACATATGTCATTGATGTAAACCGAGAAGAATGACTGGTGGATACATATGTTGCCACACTTTAATGTATATATGTAAAACATCTAATCTAAAACTGGCTGCTAACAATGACAGATTGGCAAAAGACTTTCAGTGAGTGATCTCATCGTACACTATATAAAACCTGTTGATACAAAATTAAGGTTTTACATGGAAAACCGAAGTGTTTGAGTTAATGCTGGAAGCGACTAAAAGGGATATTATCAAGTCATTAATTTCTTGGCCAGGTCATGATTGTGATATGCGACCAAATACTGTAGGCTGTGACTGGCGTGTAGTTGTATACAGTAAAAGAACCGGAAAATAATTAAGCAAACCAAGCAAGTGTCGCCCGGAACTATGCAATCAGGAATTCGACATATTTCTTCCGATACTTCTAACCTTGCAAATAACAAAATATCGGTGACGAGTCGTAGCTTGAATATTGCTCATTTAGCCTACAGAACACTGATTTGATTTGACACCAGATCAGAAGACAAAAACAATAAAACAGCCACCACAGGCACCAGCTTAAATAATCTGAAAGAGCTGACAGATGCCGACGCTTGCTAGATCCTTACAACGTTTCATTACATATCATACCTACAAAAAAGGTTTGATACCTTTCTTAATTGCCATACCTACCATTATTAGGTCACAAGAAGGAATAAGTTTTCATTTCCTCATTCTTTGAGACACCAGTCATGAAGTTTACATTAACGGAAACAGTTCACGACTCTTGACTACTGTTAAGATAACGTCAATATCTAGGTTACATCTCAGGAGTTTCCGGAGTTTGCCGGAAAAGTCCGAAGATGCCCGAGTACTTGTCGTTCGATTACGACAGGCAATGTAGTCTATCCGACTAAGCTTCCACTTCGGAAAATAATTTGTCATTGTGTCAAGAATGTTTCTGGTAAAAAATTGAATTGACTTCATTGTATTTTTTGCATTTAGATAAACTATGAAATGATAATGTACATGTACTTTTGTCAATATCAAATCATTTAGCAGTTAACTGGAGGCCTATGCTTTCTTTCTTTCTTTCTTTCTTTCTTTCTTTCTTTCTTTCTTTCTTTCTTTCTTTTTCCATTTTATAACATACTGGCTACCATTCATTAGGTGTGTTGACTCTTGAAGTTTTCTTTTGTTACTTTTTCTTATTTTGTATTGATGCCGCACAGGCTGACGGTCGGTCAAGAATACGTACACATTTCTGAATGCTCCTTAACATTCTTCCTGGTCTTAATTCACCGCAATAGCCATGCCCACAATTAAAACTTTACACGCGTCTTTAAAGATTAGAGTCGGAATAAAAGTGTTGACAGTCAAGAGAAAATGTAAAGATTTGAAATAACAATTAAAGCATTGCTGGAAAATACTTTTCACCTTCCCCGATCACTTGGATGACTTTTTGCTCATACCTGAGATTGTCCAGTCCATGGCAATCCAAGCTATCCAGCGGAACTTACGTTAACTGATATTTTGAACTTGAAAACCAATTAAAAATAACCAGAATAGAGAGTAGTGTGTGACATTTGAGTTTGTTCGGTACGGGGGACTCAGGTTAAAGAGCGGAAACGAATCTTCCATTCAAAATAACAATGACCTTTACAATCCCGAACAAGCTTGATAAGAAAACAGTATTACAATTTGTCATATTGAACTTGCGCCCTTGTCGGGAAATGGTGACCTTAGCGTTTGACATATGGATCCCACAATCTATTCCAAGCAAGCACTCCTGACTGAGTTTGAGTTTGATTGATCCACTTGAACTGCTATATTGTATGCAAAGGTTTATGAAGACGGCAGGACGGACGGCAGGACGGACTGACGTCCCTGCGTCTGTAACAACGATTGCCAGTTTCATTCCTGGAGGGATTCTAATCCAACTGAATACACTTATAAAACACCAAAATATCAAATATCTTGGGAAAAGTTGAGTATTAGCGTTGTTGAGTCGAGGCCATTGCTACATTTTATAGAAAATTGTCACAGCTCTTACAACGCCATTCCAGTATGTTTCCTTTCTTTCCAAATAAAAAAAGAAAATATATTGTGAAAAATAGTAGGCAGGGGATGAAGTAAAGTAAAAACAAAAGTAAGAAAAATATCTCAATGGAATCCGAGTGTATGCTTAAGTATACATTATTGCTGCGCTACTGCTGACGTTCATTTAACAACTTAGTCCGGATTAGCCACTTGTCCTATATCGTGTCGCGCATAGTTAAGGACAGGAATCTTCAACGGATACATTTGATTGGCTGATGATGGTTATTGATGTCTTCAATGTGGAGACAAAGACACTTCATTCAGTGAGTGACTTCCGGATCCATTTTGTTGAAAGTAGGTTTGGCTAACATTATCATATTTCGGTCAAATCCCGACGTCAACAGCTATCTGAAAACGGGATTATACATGTACCAATGTCAGTTTCTGATTATAACTGCTGTTGTCAGGACTGCATTAGTTTTTTATGACAAAGTTAAATATTAGATCAGCAAAGAAGATATTTCCATTTTCATATCATTGACTTTATATAACAACGCAAATCTGTAAAAGAATTGACGAAAGCACATACGTCGATAAACAAACAATATACAGTATGTACATAAAAATGATGTGTATAATCTGGTGATAAAAAGGGAGATAACTTGTACAGACCACATAAAGTACAGAGGCGACAGGATATTAATCTATGTATATGGCTTCCGAAGGCTCTCAGAATCAACATTGACATAAAATTGATTAGAGATGATAAACTAACACATTTAGTTCGTAGACAATAATCTTGCTACTACGTTCTCATATACGATGTATGTTCGAAACTGTTGAGTTATATAGCGTTCAGTTGATCAAAGTGTGGCTACAGTTGGTCCTTTGTTTAGTGTAAATTTGATCAAGATTTCAAGGTTTTATTCAATCACTTTTGACACACTAACGTGTGTGGCAACAGTTCACATACATATAGTTTACATTATACATGGCATGTGATAAGAAGTACAAAAACATTTTCTGTTAATAATGACAATTCACTTTTGCATAATTACACAGAGAAGGAGCACCACCAGGTACAGAAATTAGCTCAATGATTCATCAAGTTTTCTATAAATCTACAACTTTTTGTGAAGATTTTTACATTGAATATAGCAAACAAATCTTACATTCTAATTTGGCTTGGACAAGTGAATTGATATATTGGTATGTATTTCTCTCTTGTGCATTTTACAGATTCATTTTGGCAATTCAATAAATAGTGAAATTCATTTCCAATAATCAGAATAGCATAAAGTGCAGGTTGTCTTTTGATGAGGAATACCTTACCATCTTCCTGTTTCTACAGGTAAATTCATATTTGAAGAACGACACTTACATATAATTTTCCTATATTTAGTATTAAGCTGATTAAAATATTTTTCTGGTTTTTTTCTCTCTTAAATATTGAATATGTCTACCATTAAGATGAGTTAAGAATATCATTTAACCCTTTTGTATATATTGATCCTTCAGTCTATTTCTTAACAATGTCTTATTTTCATTTAAAAATGAACATGTAATTTGATAGTACCAGACGCAATTCAGGCCAATTTGAGATAGAATTTCTTTTTAACATTTGAGGGCCATTTAAATGACGTGGTTCCATGTTCTTGTAACGTATACATTAACTTATAGACAGTACTTGATAACTTATTAGCGGTAATTACCTTATACCAGAATACTATTATTCTACATTTAATTTCAATGTCTAGTGGGAATCTTATCAGTCCACCTTAAACAAAGGTATTAGCCGTGTTTTTTCTCCGCGACATTAAGTGCATTTTTACAAAATTGCACATGGGTTTTATCTATGATATTTTCGAACCCCCCATATTCCTGATGAATACAGGCGAACTAGCAGGATTACTCAATCAAATATTTTCAATTGTAAATCAACTGGTAGTGAAAATTTATCTTTTATAGACTACAAAAACATATTTCTGTGTTTGTTCAACAACTTCTGACTTTGCTTTAACAACGCGACAGTTGAAGTAAAATAAAATACCTAGGTAGGTGCATCCTTCAAGTATTTCTAATTATGTTACATAATGTAAATGGGGAGTTCTTTTACAATTCCTTTATGAGAAAATGACAACTTGAGTTTTTCTTGAGTTAATCGTCAACTTCCGAGTACTACAGAATTATTCAAATTCGTTAAATGCTAATTGTAAACCATCTGGTGTCTCTGATACTAGAACGGTATCATTACCATACAATAAACATTTTGATGTACATTCCAATTTCGTCAATATAAAGTTTTGTATCAAGACAAGTTACATTTTTCTCTTCAAGATAAGTTTCTGAATCATATATATATAAATAACAATAATATTGTTTGTTGTAGAATTAAAATTGATGGTTTGATGTTTGTATGGCGTACAGTTGATGGTTTGATGTTTGTAAGGCGTACAGTTGATGGTTTGATGTTTGTATATCGTACAGATGATGGTTTGATGTTTGTATGGCGTACAGTTGATGGTTTGATGTTTGTATGGCGTACGGTTGATGGTTTGATGTTTGTATAGCGTACAGTTGATGGTTTGATGTTTGTATGGCGTACAGTTGATGGTTTGATGTTTATATGGCGTACAGTTGATGGTTTGATGTTTGTATGGCGTACAGTTGATGGTTTTATGTTTGTATGGCGTACAGTTGATGGTTTGATGTTTGTATGGCGTACAGTTGATGGTTTGATGTTTGTATGGCGTACAGTTGATGGTTTGATGTTTGTATAGCGTACAGTTGATGGTTTGATGTTTGTATAGCGTACAGTTGATGGTTTGATGTTTGTATGGCGTACAGTTGATGGTTTGATGTTTGTATGGCGTACAGTTGATGGTTTGATGTTTGTATATCGTACAGATGATGGTTTGATGTTTGTATGGCGTACAGTTGATGGTTTGATGTTTGTATAGCGTACAGTTGATGGTTTGATGTTTGTATATCGTACAGATGATGGTTTGATGTTTGTATGGCGTACAGTTGATGGTTTGATGTTTGTATATCGTACAGTTGATGGTTTGATGTTTGTATATCGTACAGATGATGGTTTGATGTTTGTATGGCGTACAGTTGATGGTTTGATGTTTGTATGGCGTACAGTTGATGGTTTGATGTTTGTATGGCGTACAGTTGATGGTTTGATGTTTGTATATCGTACAGATGATGGTTTGATGTTTGTATATCGTACAGATGATGGTTTGATGTTTGTATGGCGTACAGTTGATGGTTTGATGTTTGTATGGCGTACAGTTGATGGTTTGATGTTTGTATGGCGTACAGTTGATGGTTTTATGTTTGTATGGCGTACAGTTGATGGTTTGATGTTTGTATGGCGTACAGTTGATGGTTTGATGTTTGTATATCGTACAGATGATGGTTTGATGTTTGTATGGCGTACAGTTGATGGTTTGATGTTTGTATGGCGTACAGTTGATGGTTTGATGTTTGTATGGCGTACAGTTGATGGTTTGATGTTTGTATATCGTACAGTTGATGGTTTGATGTTTGTATGGCGTACAGTTGATGGTTTTATGTTTGTATGGCGTACAGTTGATGGTTTGATGTTTGTATGGCGTACAGTTGATGGTTTGATGTTTGTATATCGTACAGTTGATGGTTTGATGTTTGTATAGCGTACAGTTGATGGTTTGATGTTTGTATATCGTACAGA